AGCAGCCGATTATAGAGACCTTCATATGGACTTTACTTTTTGGCGCGATGATTATAACCGCTGCCGTGGGAAACTGCATTGTTATGTGGATCGTCCTCGCCCATCGCCGTATGAGAACAGTGACTAACTATTTCATCATTAACTTAGCTCTCGCGGATGCCCTAAACGCGATTTTTAATATCTCGTTCACTTTCACCTACGTCCTCCGAAATGATTGGTATTTTGGGAATGCTTATTGCAAGATCGTACGATTTATCTCACCATTAACAGTCGCTTCAAGTATTTTCACTTTAATGGCTATAAGTATAGACAGATATATCGCGATAGTTCACCCAATGAGACCGAGGATGTCTAAGATCCTCGCTAAAACGATTATCGCCGTCGTGTGGATTGCGTCAGCTGCAATCGCCCTCCCTTGGCTTATATTTACCAATATCGATGTTGGTGCATGTCCTCCTCCAGCGATAACGGACACACCCATCTACGTACGAAGAGTCTGTGCTACAATATGGCCCGACCAGGAAAATTACGGAGATTGGTATTTCTGGTAAGTCTTCTTACAGCATAATTTAATGAGTTATAACATAAAAGTCGGAATAGTAGTGATATATTATTATTATCCTGAAAAGACAAAGTTTGATTTTTTCATGAACATTTTGCAGCTGAGATTACAAAATGCTTGTATTTGTATCTGTACAGTAGGAAGGCAAGTTATAGCGGAAGTTAATTCACCTAAATGATATCTGTGAATTTCCTTGTATTGCCAGCGTCAGACAATTCCCCGAATATGTTTGTAATATTCTTAAATGCGTTTTATTCTTTCTGGTGATTTTAGTTCACTGCAAGAGCTCGCATAGTCCGTAAAATGTGCGGCTCGAACGTCTGCACAAAAATCGAATGATTGTCTTTTTATTGTAATTGATTTAGGAAATGCCTATATTTCAATATGACGTTGAAATACCTTTACTTTAGCAAAACTTACCATCACCAAATATATATAGCAGATTATTAAACGTAGAAATATCCCCAAAATAGGTTCGCGTTTCTTGAATCCCACGCAATGTTTTAACGCCACTAGAACGCTATAACCTTTGTTTGTCATACAACAACAGTAACCCGAAATATAAATGCGTATAGTTCGTGCGAGTGATTAACTATACGGCAATAACTTCACTGAGTTTGTTTCTGCTTGATAAAATTGCATTTCACACAAGTTAGGCCTAGGTATAATTGTATGACGACGATTTAGTTTAACGTCACTGAAGTTATTTCTTTTTGTACACGCTACTATAATTCATGCAAGGACACACAGATGTAAAAATGTTTAAATGTTTAATTTGGCACAGACGAAACGATCATAAAATTCGGCTGTATATGCTTGACGTGGCGATTATATCATACGTATGACACTAAAATAATATTCGTTATTCACAACACCTTGCACCATTATAGGAGGCATGAGCCCACCTTTTTAATAACCCATTTAAACCAACCTGTCAACACATTTGTGTAAATATAAAAAGACTCTATGAATGAGGCAGTGATTTGTTTTTAAAGAATTCAGTATTAAATCTAGATAGTTATACGTTTTTCTAGTGTAGTTTTAAAAACGTACCTGATGACTACAATCGCATCGTTCCCAATACCTTCAAGCTAGTGAGTTGAGTATTCACAGAGTTGGATATTATTGTAAGCTTCCACAGTTAGTTAAACATGTTCATTAACGTGCAGTCAAATAACGGACTAGTCAAAGATTGACAGATTGATAGTGCAAATAAAAAAGTACATGTTCTATGATTGTATGCTCTAAATGAACATGTACAATACGAATACTATAATACTACGTTGATCGTTTAGTATTACCAGTCTATATATCAAATAATATCAGATGATGGCCTGTGAAACGTATGCAAATTGAAATTTTGTTTAAATTCAAGATTCTTAGAGTTGCAAATTGTACTATGCCCCACGGTTTCCAATTCCTTAATTTTGTGTTGTACAACAAAAAGACATTGATATGTACACTATTGGCTCAATTTCAAGGTAGATTTGACCACGATGCAAGTGAATGAGATCGTGACACAATTAATCTTTCACTGAAAATTGTTTTCTTCGGTGTGGATACGACAGAAAATGAGTTACAACGTCAAACACAATTTCCATTTGTATATATGTAGGTACAGCTTCAGTTTCATGGTGGCCACGTACTTCCTACCATTGATTGCTCAAGGCGTGTCTTATAGTATCGTTGGTATTAAGCTATGGGGCAGCCAGGCCCCTGGAGAGACATCGAACAGACACAGAGAGCAGTTAAAGGCAAAACGAAAGGTGCGTATAATGTAGAAATAATATAACAGATAACGAAATGTACTATGTATATAGAGAACGATTGTACGTACAAAGACACCCATTTATGCGGTTTAAGTTGCAATAACAAGGAGCAAGACGTATACAAAATACACGTCACTAATACATACATTTTGGAAGGAGGGGGAATACAATAACGTCAACGTTTAGAATTATATGTTGCCCTGATAATTAATTTCGCTAAATTCTTACAAAGTGTCTTAACTTTCTTGTAATTAGTGACATTTAGGTTAGATTAGATTACTTAGATTTGTTTAGGTCTTATTGGCAAAAACCGTCAAACGTTGTTTGTGATATGTAAATTAGAGAGCCGCCATCATTGATATTGCTCGAGACAGCACTGTGGATTATTTTCTGAGCTGACGTACGATTGACTGCTTATGATCACACGAAAATGTCATTACTACTATTATATAACTAATAATACTGTTGAATTAATGATATTGAAACAAACGTTAACTTACGCCTATGAGATGTCTAATGATGGTCCCTACACTCTGTAACATCAAAGATATATAAATATGTCGGCATGTATAAAACACCATTGATGTAAGAATCAAACCAATATTTGTAATAATTACAAATATGATTTCATCCTGCTATAAGAGGATTAAACGGTCGGGATTATCGGTTTGTGTGACACAGCCGATGCAAATCGTTTCAGTGCTCGTAAGCGATCACGACAATTTGCTGATTCACATGACGCGCGCCGACACCCTCACTTCCTGTGTAATTGTCGAATTAAATCTATTTTGATATCACTCAGCATTGTTAAATATGCTTATTTTGACAGTACAATGTTAGACTGAATATGACACGAAAGTGAAATCACAGTAACAGCTGCTTTGTTACACTGCGTTAAAAAATAAATAAATTTGAAGTGACCAAACTGCTACAGGAGATTTCAATGCTATTTCATTCGCGACTATTTCATGAATATCGTGGTATATTACACTAATTGTTTATTCAATTTAACTAAACCCAATCAATCATACTTCACCCAAAACTCATGATAACTATTAAAAAGTAATATGAATATACATGAAGAATTTGGAATTATTGATTGGCGGAAAAATCAATTGCAAAATTTACCATAACTGCCGAGGGATATACCATTGCGTGAGACAAAACACAATCAGCAATAATATACGATTATCAGACACGAAAACATACACGACGTCGTAAAAAAAATGTTTCTCGCGTGTTGCAAAATTCAAGTGAAATTATATTCAAGTTATATTTTAATGACATTTTATATTTACCATTATAACTATTTTATAGCGTGAATGACCGAAATGTTGTTCTCGCTTCACAGAACTTTCTTTTACCATCACATTAACGAGATGATGCATTGATTAACATGTCACTCGTGTAGTATCAAACATTGCATGTTTGCGATGTATATGTGATATCATCAGATCAGTGAATCCGTTGAACATTAGAAACATTACACGTGTGTGATGCATATGTGAAATCATCAGATCAGTGAATCCGTTGAACATTAGAAACATTACACGTGTGTGATGCATATGTGATATCATCAGATCAGTGAATCCGTTGAACATTAGAAACATTACATGTGTGTGATGCATATGTGATTTATCAGATCAGTGAATCCGTTGAACACTAGAAACATTACACGTGTGTGATGCATATGTGATATCATCAGATCAGTGAATCCGTTGAACATTAGAAACATTACACGTGTGTGATGCATATGTGATATCATCAGATCAGTGAATCCGTTGAACATTAGAAACATTACACGTGTGTGATGCATATGTGATATCATCAGATCAGTGAATCGGTTGAACATTAGAAACATTACACGTGTGTGATGCATATGTGATATCATCCGATCCGTGAATCCGTTGAACATTAGAAACATTACACGTGTGTGATGCATATGTGATATCATCAGATCAGTGAATCAGTTGAACATTAGAAACATTACACGTGTGTGATGCATATGTGATATCATCAGATCAGTGAATCAGTTGAACATTAGAAACATTACACGTGTGTGATGCATATGTGATATCATCAGATCAGTGAATCCGTTGAACATTAGAAACATTACATGTGTGTGATGCATATGTGATTTATCAGATCAGTGAATCCGTTGAACACTAGAAACATTACACGTGTGTGATGCATATGTGATTTATCAGACCAGTGAATCAGTTGAACATTAGAAACATTACATGTATGTGGTGTAGATCAGTGAATCCGTTGAACATTAGAAACATTACACGTGTGTGATGCCTATGTGATTTATCAGATCAGTGAATCCGTTGAACATTAGAAACATTACACGTGTGTGATGCATATGTGATATCATCAGATCAGTGAATCAGTTGAACATTAGAAACATTACACGTGTGTGATGCATATGTGATTTATCAGACCAGTGAATCAGTTGAACAGTAGAAACATTACATGTATGTGGTGTAGATCAGTGAATCCGTTGAACATTATAAACATTACACGTGTGTGATGCATATGTGATATCATCAGACCAGTGAATCCGTTGAACATTAGAAACATTACACGTGTGTGATGCATATGTGATATCATCAGATCAGTGAATCAGTTGAACATTAGAAACATTACACGTGTGTGATGCATATGTGATATCATCAGATCAGTGAACCAGTTGAACATTAAAAACATTACACGTGTGTGATGCATATGTGATATCATCAGATCAGTGAATCCGTTGAACATTAGAAACATTACACGTGTGTGATGCATATGTGATTTATCAGATCAGTGAATCAGTTGAACAGTAGAAACATTACACGTGTGTGATGCATATGTGATATCATCAG